CACCTACATCAACAACTTTGATCAAAGACATCATAGCCTTCAACATTGAAGATGCTTCCTATCTATCTGTTGTTGTTGATGATGGAGAGCTATACCCAGCTTACAGTCCAGTGTAATGGCCAAATTCTTGCAGTGTGACATCAAGAAATTAGAATAAAACCTAACAAGCAAATTGCCCTTTCAAGCATCCATGAGACTTGAAAATGGTGAAGTTGTCAATTTACAGTAATTAAATTTTGGACTCATCTCATTAAATCCTATTAACTGTCTTTGTTTATATTCTTAGAACTCATTTTAGAATTCATGTAAAAAAAAAAAATAAGGTTTTCCAAAATGTAAATTTAAAAAAAATCTGTTTCTTAGGAGGAAAGGAAAAAAAAGACCTAAAAAGATTGTTTAGTTCATTATTTTGTGACATTTTTTAACAAAGCTGCAAGGACTTTTCACATTATCTTCTAGATTTTCAAATAGTTTTATGACTTAGACTTTGTACATTGAATTTGATACAAGTGATTCAGATTTGTGTTTAAATTGCTGTTTTCAAAACATCAGATCAAACTTTATATATTTGTTAGTCCTTTTTTCCACATCATTTTGTTCTATTTTCTGATGGACAAAGCTGTACAATTTTGCAATTGAAAAATGCAAAGTCAAATATAACAAAGTCCTTTTTTGATTTGTATTGCTTGTTTATTGTTTTTTTTCTTTGGTTTTATTTTTTATTTTGGGGGTTTATTATTATTATTGTGTTTGTTTTTAATTCTTTTTTCCAGGCTGGTTGTGTCCTTTTTTTATAGACTAGATTGCAAGTAACTAAAACTGAGATTGTGTACTGATTTCTTTTACTTTGCCATCCACTTTTTTTTAAACAGGGTGTGACACTAACGTTAGTCTCATACTAATACATTTTCATTTGGACTTATAAAATCTGTGGCCAATTAGTCCGAACTGACCAATAAAAATTTCTAGAAAACAAAATGAATAAATTACTGATGTCTTATACTGGAAAACCCCGCATGTATTTTTAACTTTCTAGCTCCTTGGTGGGTAGTTAGGTAAATCTGAGTCAATTCAGCGCTTAATTTTATGACTTCATATGAAGTTAAACATTTTAGCGATCATGATTTAGTATGAAGATTTCAGATATAATGTATAGAGAAAAAAGAACGAGATAGGGAATGCGATCGTATTTCCTGCATGATCACGAGATTGCAACAAATCTGTGGAATAAAACACTTCACGTAAATGCTTTCATTTGTTAAATTCAAAAAGTATAATATTTATTTTAAACGTAACAAAACACTGATTGATTTTCTTTTTTTTGACAGAATCACGAAATTGTGCGCAGACTAGCAAAAGTAAAGAAGCACTAGTCCAGCCGGACCAAAACCTAAAAATGTTAGTGTCGAACCCTGTAAAAAGAAGATGTGTCAATTAAATGTTTGAATGTTTCCACACTCAAATGTGCATTTTATTTCACTGTCAAAGTGTTTCAAAGTTTTATTAAGTACAGTATTGTTATTCTCTTCAATGGGAATTAAAAGCTTAAAAGGACTTTACAAAATATGCATAAGATGCTTTGTGAAATTTGTGCATAAAACAAGAGATGTTTTTTTCCGTACCTAGTCAGTATGAACAGTGTTGAATACTTTATGTTACAGTCTAGTCTTGATGTTTTTCTAGTCAAGTTCTTTAGCACATCATTTTCTGTTTTCTTTTTGACAGAAATGTTCAAGTTTGCTGCCGAAGTGCATCTTGAGTCATAGGGATATTGGAGTTTCTTTTTTTTTTTTTTAAATTAGATTATATTGCATGTAATTAGAAAGTAGTTTGATGTGCAGTGAATTGATTTGTACATGTATATATACATGCATGTTTTTCTAGTTTTTGTTATTATGTTGGTAGATAGAACACTTTTTGTATCTTACATCACAAAAATGCTTTTAATAATGCATGAACAAGAGGCTTTGTATGATTTGTTTGTGTTTTTTCTTAGTTTTTTTACTTTTAAATACATTTTTACATGTGTTTGTGCTGTATTCAGTAACAAGAATCACCCTATTCTATCCAGAATTTTCATCCCCTTTGATGTACCCTGTAGAACTGTCATTTCCTCATTGTTTGTAATTTGACTTTTAAACACACAAAATTCTATACAATTCACAAATGTCTTGTAATTTGACATTTTAAAGATAAAACATACTGTATTTATCACTAATATTTGTTCCAACTGTTTCCAGGCATTTTCAAATAGTCTCCATGTATGTCTCAAGTCTAAGTTTAGCTAATCTTTGTTAAATAAATTTTGTTTTTACAACAAAATTGTTTTCCAATTTATTTATCTTTGTTTAATTGCTTGTGTTCAAAACGATAAGAATTTTTAATTGTTTCAATATGGATATTTTAAAAGTCTTGGTTAGCTGGAAAAAAAATTCACCAGACAATGATGCATATTGTTTAAACCAACTACCAATATTCATAGTAATTGCCTTAATTGTAATATAATGGGGATCAAAGAGACTGCTATAATTTCAGACAGATTGGATGCAATATATAGGAAAATTATTTTTCTAAAGAATTATTCAGAGAACAACAATTATGACAATTCAAATTATAAATGATATGTATATAATATAATTGTTCTATTCAAATGATGTACCCGGTACTCAAAAATTCCTGTCAAGGTGTAAAAAGAATTAAAATTTTTCATTAGAATATACTCTAATTATCAAATACTCAAATTTAAAAACAATCTATGGAGTGGGGAAGTGTACATTCAAATGATATCCCCTTAAAAGACAATCAAGTCATATGAACTTCTCACAATCTTTAAAAAATAGTTCCCAGGAACATTTTGAATATCATTTTGCCAACAATAGAGTTTGACTTTGGTACCATGAACACTGATACCTCGAATACTATGAATATGTTAAAGTGATTTGGAAGTCCGAAAAATATTTTACCCTCTATTTATAGAGTTCTTGGGTATCTCAAAGTTTTTTGTCAGTCCCATTGAGTTTAATTAAGAGTGTTGACTATACGTCAATGGGATTGAACATAAGTATCACAGACTTGTGTAGTCCTCTCTCAAAAGACATTGAAAAGCAAATGAAGAGCAAGTCGACTCTCAGGCCCTTCAGGCCTTTGATTTGAAACAGGGAACACGTAAATTATTTTTGCATGGTTGACAGTAGAAAGTTTATGAACATATATCAGAGATGTGCATGGCACTTGAATTTTGATTTTTGATCATTTATGGTGAATATGCAATTTCTATGCAATATGTCCTACAATTTTCAGAGTATAAAGTTTTTATAATAGATGATGTTCACATTTACAAGAGTGATTTCTGTTCTTGGATCAATCTAAGTACACCCGACATAAGGTCCTGTTCTTCCTCTATAACATTAGCAACTTTACGGATAGTTTCTGATTAAAAAAAAACATATATATTTGTTCATTACATTTTCTTTCTTGCCTTACACTTTGCAAATAAAGGTATGGTATAAAATTTTCAAAAGATGTTTAAATATTTCAAATTTTTACTTGTAAGTGATAAAGGATATAGTGAGAAAAATATATGTTTCATGACAAGGAAAATAACTCCTGAAAATGAAAAATTTCTATTCATGATATATACCAGTCCTGTTCATACAAAGAAAAGACAGTTTGCTGTCATGTTGACCACTTTTCACATTTCTTCATTTCCACCTTTGGTTATTTTCACATTCTTGAATTTTCAGATATTTAGAGCTTGTGTGTTAATGAGGTTATTTGTGTCATACTAATGAGTACAAAAATGTATGTACTATGAGGATACTATTAAGAATTACTGGACTTTGTTCTTGCTGTTTTAAACCTTCAAAAACATCTAATTCCCTAAATAAATGCAATACATTAGTGATAACGAGACGGCCGGAATTCTCATCAAAAAATTGAGAAACCATCTTTCCTCAGAGACAGGCGATAATTGTCCACAACAAAAAACAGTTGATTTTCCATGCACGTACAGAAAGTTCAGCAATTATAAGTGCTTCACTACTGCGAGAATTAATTGTCAGTAACTGCCTGTGTTGTTTTGTAATAAATTACCCATCAATGTACTGGGCTTTGTTTGTAAAATTATTAATTGAACTTGATCTTATACCATGTCCAAATTATCTTTTGTTATTTTAAGATTGCTCAAATGCAAGGAATAAACCTGTTTTGATACTTCAATAATTATTAAAACAATACACCTTCATTTTAAACTGTTTGAGGACATTTTGATAGCCAGAGCAAACAATTATATATGGAATAAGCAGTATATGACTGCTTAACAATTTCACAGGCACCTGACGTGTGGAGAGTGTAAGGTCACACCCCCCCCCCCCCCCTTTTATTTCATAATAAGCTTTAAAAAATATCGACTGACAATTTTTTTAATGCTTTCTTAAATAAAAACTGACTGCATGTATGGGTCGATTTATGAATTCTATTGACGGGGAAATAATAAAATTTGGAGAATTAGGTTTCTAAATTTATTTCATAGAATCATGCTATCCACGCGTTACGTTGCATTAATTTTTATGTTACTTTTTAAATATTTAAGTAAAAGGGTTTTTGAATATGTACCAATGAAGTTTGAAAGAAAATATTATTTTCATAAAATGTTCCGAATATTCAACTATTTTCAAATAATGCAATCGAATAATCGACTAACTAAAGGAAAATAAGTATTTTGACATCCCTAGTTTTTACCCCAAAATTCTGCATAGGTAACTTACCTGAAAATTTCAAATCAGAGAATTAGGAAAATAATTACTGTAAATGCATGATATTTGGCATTTATGATATTTGGCAGAAATTGACTTTGACAAGTTAAGGAGATATGATTTATAAGAAATTGTTATTTTGCAGAAAAATGATGCCATTGAAAAAAGTGTGTGTACAGTTGATCATTAAGAAATAATGTATACATGTGCAGTATTTTGAGTTTGTAAATGTTTTTTTTTTTTCAGGCTGCTGAGAATTTGCTGATATCATTAGGGGCTCTGATTGTTGAACATTCACAGAAACCTTTGGTCCATAAGAGAAGGAAGAGCCCAGCAGAGCCAGTTAGCCAGATAACTCCCCTGGGGAGAGCCATGGCCTGCTTCCCTGTGTCTCCCCGCTATGCAAAGATGATGTTATTAGGACATCAGCAGGATCTTCTGCCTTATGTCATTGCCATAGTTGCAGCTCTTTCTGTTGATGAAGTGTTTGTGGAATTTCATAAGGCAGCAACTGATGATGTAATAGTTTTCTTTTTTTGGTTTAACCTGAAGACCCTTTGACATAATTTTACAATTTTTAACTTGTGTATTCAAATAATAACTTTCTTGAAAAATAGAAGGCCAAACTGAACAGCATTCATATGGAAGAAATATGGAGATAATGAACAGTATTTAAGCTCATAAGTCCTTTCAAACAATACAAATCAGGAGCAGAGCAAAAATGGACCTCTAAAACATCAGAGGTGGGATCAGGTGCAGTGGAGGAGTGAGCATCCCCTGCTGACTAGTCACACCTGTTGTGTGCTGTGCAGCTCTGTTAAGGCTGCATAAAGGGGGCGGGGCCTAATTTATACGGGAAAAGTTTACTGTGACATCACACAAATATAGCAATTCCTCACAATAACAGAAATGAAATAATTTGCGAATCTAAACTGCATAAGAGCAATGAACTTCATCAAAACTTACCACTGCATTCATTTTTGTGCTAGTTAAATTCCACACAGCAAGATATAAACAAGTCACTGATCGCAATGCAGTTGTCGACATGACGTCATCATGTAAAGTTTGACGCATTTTATGTGCAGTGAGAGGCGGATCAAGTTATTTTTTCACAGTGAAAAATGCATTTTATTATTAAACATAATATTACTTGCAAATTTTAGGTAGACCATTAATACAAATCTGAAACGTTTGTTTAGTACCATTATTTAAAAAATATTGAGAGAATGTATTGAATTAATTCTACCGTGTTTTTGTCTACAGGGTGTGCATGTTTCATGTCGAGGTGCCTCATTAAATCGTCTTTTCGCAAGGGCATACACTAAATAGATCGAGACCATTTTTTGAATACACATAACAGACATATTCCTTAACTTGAAAAGTGCTGCTGCTTTCCTGAAATCGATAGCATAACTTAATAAATACATGAAATATTTGGTAAAGGTCACACATATTTCGACATTAGCCAGATAGCCTGAAATTTAAACTAATTTAATGCGAATTCTATTTAAAGCAGCAGCACTTTCCATTAACAACAAGTTATGTAGAAACAATCTATTTTTTTTAATTTTTAATTTTAACTAGGGTATGCCCTTGCGATATTGAAATTTGTTTGTGACCTAAATACAGTACACATTACATGCATTTATCACGTGACTGTCAAATAACGTGACCAAACCAAATTCAGTACAAAGCTGGATATACAATGTTATTTCAAAGAATGTTAAAGTCATAAGATGATATAGTACCTTTACAAAAATAAATTCAGTTTAAAAAGGTATGTATTTATGCCGTTTATATTCTGTTGATGTCTTCGAAGTACGCCTTAAAAGTGCTGGGTACTTGTCATGATCAAGAAAATTCAAAAAATCTTTAGACAAGTCAGTGTGTAAATAACGGTCTAACAATGTCAGTCAGCATTTGACTTAATGATAGATTGTATTTGCTGACAAGGTCATTGTATCGACCACTGAAGTTGTGAAATGATGACTTTAAAATTAGACTGTTGATATTTTTGTTTAATCAACTTGTCTGACAATAGCTTGCCTCATTTTAGACATTTTTAGTTTGTAGAGCATGCTAAACAATCAAAAGTTGTGTGGATTCTGATTCAATTCAATTTAATTCATTTATTTGACAACACCATCATACATTGGCATATAGTCATGAATACAGCAAACAATAACATACATAAAATCAATAATTAAAATATGTTTACAAATAACAAAATGAAGATGGTCTTTTCAGTGGCATCTTATATGCCAGGCAAATAGGGCTAGATTAATGAAAAATCCTTCACTCAGTAATCAGAATTCAGTCTCCAAGTGAAAGTGCTTAATTTACTGCAAACATGTCACATATACTCCAAGGTCAGGATGAAAATCGCTATTGGGTTTCAAATAGTGCTAAATTACTTGCAATTTTCATAGGAAAACTTTTGAATTAAATAATGTCCCATTAGGACAATTAGATTTTTAGGTCACCCGAGTCACTCAGGTGACCTATTGCTATGATATCCCTTTTTGTCCATCATCCGTTGTGAGTTAACTTTTGAACATTTTCAACTTCTTCTCTACAACCACTAAACTAGTTTGAACCAATTTTTAGCATATAGACTCTTTGGGTGAAGGGGAACAAAAATTTTGAATTTCATGGTCCCTGCCCCCCTGGGGCCCCTGGGGTGGGGCTAAAACCACCAAAAATTGATGTAATCTTTAAAAATCTTTTTCTTTACTCCTGGACATCAAGCAATCAAACTGTTGGCATGATTGTAATAAGCATTGAGCCCTCTACCAAAATTTTGAAATTCATGGCCCCAGGGTCAGGGGTTCTGGTGCTAGGGTGGGGCTATATAGATCATATAGTGAAAGTGCATTATTTCTTTGAAAATTTTCTCCTGGGTATTATTTAAGCTAAGTGCATGGTTATGATAAGCAATGATGTCTTTTCCAAAATTGTGAAATTCATGGCCCCTGGGTCAGGAGTTCTGGTGTTAGGGCGGGGCTCTATTGATTATCTAGTGAAAATGCATTATTTCTTTGAAAATCTTCTTCTCTGCTCCTTGGTATTATTTAAACAAACTAAGTGCATGGTTATGATAAGCATTGATGCTTTTTCCAAAATTGTGAATTTCAAGGCCCGCCCCTGGGTCAGGGGTTCTGATGTTAGGGTGGGGCTCTATTGATTAAATAGCGAAAATGCATTAATTCTTTGAAAATCTCTGCTCCTGGGTATTATTTAAACAAGCTAATTCAGAGAATTTGTGTCCCCAGCTTAGGGAAAAAAGTTCAGGGTTGGGGGGTCACACTACCCCCTGTATTTGTAGAATTATTAAATGTATACATGTATATTGAAGCAAATTAAAAAAATGGCAATATGGATAAAAAGATTTGATTTCTTATTCTTTAATATGTGTATAGAAGATTCTTTTTAATATACAGAATAATTATCACACTTTATTAATGATTTTATGAGTTTGTACACTTCAGACATCACACCTTTTTATTTCACATGTTGAATAGTATCATTTAGTAAATCCAAAAAAAAAAAACGTTAAAAAAAGAAAAATAGAATTGATCAGGGATTGAACCCGGGCGTCTCGCTTGCTAAGCGAGCAACATACCCCTAGACCATGGAGGCACTTGATTATACAGCAAATTAAAGGCAAACACTAGGTCACACACAAAAGTCAGTAATGATAATGTCATAAGAATTATGCTTCTTTGACTATGTAACAAGAAGTTGATCTACTCATTTCCATAATATGACTCATATTGAGTTAAGTCTGATTAAATGCAAATATTAGGTCACATATAATGTTTATATTCACGTTCGATATTGTCAAAATTTTACACATTACATATTGTCTAATTTAGCCTTTACTAAACAGTTCTAATAGATGTAATTAGAATGTAAAGTCAGCCGACAACCTGTTTTATACGTAATAACTCTCCACATGCCCCTGTGCTAGAAATAGTGCCAAGCGACTTTTAAATATACAATAAATAAAAAAAACAGGGCGGGACACTTTGAGAGGGGCGAGAGATGCCATAGGGAGTTATGGTATAAAATTTCTTTGCAAAAGCTCAAAAGCTTTTTGAGGTATCACCCGGAAACGAAAGTGTTACACACAGATGGAATTTGTGTATTTACGACCTTGAACTTTGACCTTTTGACCTCAAAATTAATAGAGGTCTTCCTTAGGCCACAGAGAGTTGTTATGTAAAATTTCATTTGCAAAAGCTTAAAGAATTCATGAGATATCGTGCGGAAACGATAGTTTTAAAACAGACAGAATTTATGAATTTATGACCTTGACCTTTGACTTTTTGACCTCAAAAATTAATAGGGTTCTTCTTTAGGCCATAGGGAGTTGCTATGCAAAATTTCATTGCGAAAGCTCAAAGGGTTCTCAAGATATCGTGCAGAAACGAAAGTGTTACAGACAGACAGACGGACAGACAGACAGACCCAAATTGATATTCCCCACTTTCAGTGAAAGCAGGGAACAACAAACTAAGTGCATTTCAAAATTGTGAAATTCATGGCCGGGGGGGGGGGGGGGGGCTCTATTGACTGTATAGTGAAAAGTAATTTGTTTGAAAATGTTCTTTTCTGCTCCTGGTTATAAAGCAAAAAACTTAAGTGTATAGTCATGATGAACAAGAGTGCTTCTTCTAGGATTGTGAGTTTCATGGCCCCTAGGTCAGATGTTTCTGGTGTAAGGGTGGGGCTCTATTGATAATATAGTGAAAATGCATTAATTAGGGTCTTCCGTCTCCAACGGAAGACCCTTCTATTATTCTATTGTTTCTTTTTCACTTTTATTAGGGTCTTCAGCGAAAGACCCTTCTATTATTCTTTGGTTTCTTTTTTACCTTTATTAGGGTCTTCCGTCTTCAGCGGAAGACCCTTTTATTATTCTTATGTTTCTTTTTCAAGCTTCTTATTATTAGGGTCTTCCGTCTCCAACGGAAGACCCTTTTATTATTGTATTATTTCTTTTTCACTTTTATTATTATTATTATTATTCCACTTTTTCTTTACAATTTTTGTGCAGAAGATATCTCGCAAATGGTTCGATCAATTTTCATGAAATTTTCAGGGGTAATGCCTTTTGATCTGAAGATGATCCTTTTTTGTTCAAATGCTTAAAATTCACTTCCGGTCGGAAGTTATCGCCCTTTAATCGATTTTCAGATAACCATTTTGTCGGCACAAAAACTAAAAAACAGCAAAAGCTAGACCCCTGAAATTTTCAGCGATTATAGACGACATGTTGAAGTTTTGCACCTGGCTTTTCAAATTTTCCGGAAGTACCTAGTATGGAAGCTTGGTAGGGGTAGAAATTTAGGACATGAATCAAGAGTGAAATATCCTTAATTAGGGGCCATAAGGGGCCAGAATGCAAAATCTTTGACACTTTATATTTCAAAAGTGGGAAATATTTTAATAAGCAATATTGAACAAAAGATGTTCAAAATAATATTCTAAACAATATGCAACGTTTTAATTTTTTG